CCCCCCCCCCACACACACACACACACACACGCATGCAGGAAAAGCAATTACTTCGATATACGCGCATTGCTACCATTCCAGAAGGGTTTCTTGACTGAGCTAGACACCTCATAAACATTTACAGACAAAAAAAGTTTGATATTGCTAGGGTAGAACACTGCATTTTAAGATTTTGCTTCAGGAACCGATCAGTACTGAGCAAATTCATTTACCCTGAACAAAACACAGGCACCTGAGTTGCTCATATTAAACTGTAAAGCAACAACCATTCATACTGTTACCGATCCGACTGCATTAAGTTTAGCGCAAAAATGCATGATCGCACGGGCAAGACTGACGCGTTGTTACCTGGGCTTTATCGAAAAGTGGCCCGTGAGCTTAAGTAAGTAATGGACCGAAACATTTCTTACCATTAAAAAATTTTTCAAGATTTTATTAGTTCTTCTTTTAACACAAAAATATTTTATTTTATTTAAATCATATGTAAATCAGGCCCGCGTGTCGCCAAAAGTTGCTCATGCCTGTTTTAAGGCATAAGGAGTACTGGAGGTATTCCGAAATGACCTGAGCAACAACAGTTAGCCGCTAGTAAAGCTAACGAAACCACGTTCTTTGCAGAAAATTTTGAGAATTAGGTTACTTACCATCGCACCCAGCTTGTCATCCGCATAAAAATCATTGGTCCACAAAAAAAGGGAGAAAAATTTACCCATTATCACAAATTTCATCAATAATCAGCATCGCAATATCCATATTATCAACCAGTGCTTTTTTCTCAACATTTTTCCGTAGCACCAGTGAAACAGAATCGTACAAACAATTGAGAGCCGCAACCAGGATCATCTCGTTCTCATCCGCACTACCCATAACGTAGAAAAATAAATCAACATTGCTTCGATATACGCAAATTATTCCATCCAAAAGAATAATTTCAGCTGTAAACCATAACATTATATATACAAATATATATTTATAATGTTGGGATTAAACTAGAATCAAGATTATGAGTTATTCAAATTTCACGTTTAATTTATATTTAATTTTCATATTTATTTCTCAATTAAGAATCAAATTATTTCGATAACAACAATGTTACTGGAATGCTTCCTCCATATGTCGAGTTCACAGATCCTGAGCTGCACAACTCCAGTTCCAGTTGCGGTGTTGAGTTAAGACGTATATGACTTAATGGACCGAAATTGCCTTATCTCTCACTCTTGCCTTCTTTTCTCACACTGTTCTTTTATGCTGTAATCTATCGCTTCTTCGCCACTTGGGCTTCCAT